CGAAATACTTTTTTTTTTTTTTTAAATTTTCTTCCACACAGCTCTTCTCAAAAATAATCAAACAGCTACAGAATTAAACGGTATTTTAAAAAAGGATATCTTCAGACTAATAGGAACTTGAAATATATTACATGCTGAGCGGTGAAACTCAGAGGACAGAATAAAATCTGAAGTTCTTTTCCATTCTTTTCCTGAATATATGAAAATTCCTGTTCCTGAAGCATTTGCTACTGCATGGAACTTACTCTCCCGTCTTCTTAGCAAGCCTTCGTGGTGTAGTGGTCAGCACACTCAGAGCATATTCGAGATGTCCGTGGTTGGAATCTCGGCGAGGGTATTGCTCATTTCTTCAACTAACCTTGTTTCGAAAAAATCCTAGTATCTCTACAAAGTCTGTAATTCGTACGCCTTTCCAGTTATGGAGTCTAATGGTGATAAACCAGTGATGATCACATTACAGCTCCTTTCTATCATAAAACATAGGAACAGGACCATTTTGCTGCCTGGTGCAAACTCCGCAAATCCTAAACTCTGCCGCCCATTCCCTGCCTAAATTCTAAAAATTTTGCCGCCCAGTGCAATCGCAGTGGTTGCAAACACCTTGGCGCCGCTATGCTTAGGAAGGACCTGTTTTACATCAGCATTTTTCAATGTGAAGGATACTGGCTAATAAATCAAATAATTATGCATTAGATAGGCTTTTTCTCCATGATCGCTTACACACACAATATATATGTACCTGGCTATGTGCACGAGAATGCAGGCTGGATCACTTAATCCGGTAAGGTCTAAACAAGGGCCATCTTTGAATGACCCTTGTTTAGGGTAATTTCCTAGAATGGAAAGGACTTAAAAGGTTCTAAACTTAAGAATTATATTACATGTGAACGCTTACATACACATGATGTATATAAACAAGAGAATGTAAGTTGGATCACTTAATCTACTAAGGCCTAAACACATTCTACAAGTTTTCAAAACCAAATTACTCTCACACAAAACAAAGGAAGTCAATTTTGAAGGTCCCTAGCAGTGTGTTTAGAGCTTTAGACTGCCGTAATTGGACACTTAATGTGTATGTGAGCATTTAAACGTAAATAGACAATTTTAATTAATAGTAAAAATCCTCCTTTCATTAACAGTGTACTCCTTTTCAATTCTATATAGTTAAATATTTATTTATTTTGTGCAATTTTAATGTGACAACTCTATCAGTCCAGTTTCTTGTTTTAAATAGTCAATTACAAACTCCAGATTTCCCATTTTTCAGTTAATCAAATATTTTATAACATATAAAAATATATTTAAGATAAATTTGTATTATGATATATGCTTACAGCAAAAACAAAGAACCTCTATTACCTCTTCAATCTTGACTATGCATTTTGCCTGATAGTGTTATATGTAGGAATAATGATCAAGTTTTACAATTCAGCCCAGGTAAGGAAATCTTTGTATCACTAATAGCAAATCACAGATGGCACCATTACCACATATGCAGTTCTTAGCTAAACTGGTGACAACAGAAATACTATATTTTTTCTCCTTTTCAACGGTCTGATTGGATATGCTCTTCTTTTGATCTGATCATCTTAATATGCGATAGCTCTATAGTTCGAATCCAGACTCGACACATGTATCAACCTACAACAGATGATGAAGTCAATCATAACTAATTAACAATCATAACATACCTACTATCTAATAACAATGATGATGTGCCACTATAATCCTCTCTACGGAAAATTCACCTTAATGAGAAATCTAATTAGAATTTAAAAAACTCCCTTTTTCAGTCAAATGAGATGTGGAGAAAATGCCATTCTAAAGTTTTCTAACCTATTGTTTCAGTACAATTGTACTTATACAAGTCTATGCTGAAAATTTTGAATGAAAAAAATCAAGAGCTAAGAGAAAGTTTTATTATTTGACGTTTTGCTTATGAAAATTTTACTGTGTTGCTTACTAAAGTTTAAAAGTAATTTATAAAGTTATTTCGTATACTGTGATTTCTAGACTGTCCAACATCCAGTAATGTTCAGAAGTACCCAATGACTTATTTAACATATTTTTTAATATCATAGGAAGGGAATGTAATTGGATCAATTTACTTGAATACAGTATAGCACATGAGGGCTATCAGCCTTTGTGGAGGACTTTTGACAGGAACCTGGTATATATTCAAATATTACACATGAAAAAAGCCACATTATAGTAAGCTTAGTTATTGCTTTTCTAACCTACTTTTGATTCGGGAAACCTCTATGACCTGCCTCCTTGCTTACTCTCTAAAGACCTCTGAGGCATTTGCTATTTTGTATGCAACATTCCTTCTCTATTTTTTCCCTCTCGGGAAGGGGGGATGGGGGAATCATTTTATTTTATTTTAAACATTTTTAACAAAAAATACTTAACAACCTGTTTGCAAATCGTGAAAAATTAAAGAGAATGGGACCATTTTACCTCTTCACAGGCTGCAGAAAAAGGTCAGGAAACGTTGGCTGTTTGTATACTTAGAGAAATTAAAGAGAATGAGAGTATTTTAACGCTTCCAGAAGTGGATGAAGAGATCAGTGCAGGCTGCATCATTTTGCCTGAAGTGTAAAAAAGAATACTATGACTGGTATTGAACATAATTTCAATTCTTGTGATTGACTGATCTAATAAGTCCAAAATTACAATTTACCACATACTGCTGGATTTCAATATCTGCAGCTGCATACCCATTTATGGACTATGTTCACAGCCATTCAGTGTCAAAAATTGTCTGAGAACATGCAGCCATCAACATTGAATCAATGATTGGAAAAGGGTGATATGCTTAGACACACCCTTACATATTTCAATGCTCTCTTGACAGATAAATTCATGAGCATGCAGTATTTGCCTATACTAGGTATTTCTTTTCACCTGGATGACTTCTGGATGCACATAGCAAGATAAAATGAGCTTAATGTTCTAAGTAACACTTTCTTTAGAAGTCCATAGAACTAATAATAATGTACAACAAATTTTAGCAGCCTGTAACTGAGTGGCACAGCTGACCAATGATATCCTTTTAAAGTAACTGTATTTAACAGCAAAGACTGTCTTTCAAAAACATAATGCTCTACGTCACACTGCAAAGAAGTTTCAGGAATGGTTCCAAGAACATAACTCCTTTTATTTTTATGACTTCAAATTCATCACACATGAATAATATCACACAATTACAGTTCAAATTACAGAGAAGTAGTAGCTCCAAACAAGTAACATAAGAAAAAGTAGAATTAACTATTGTAGTCAGATTGTTTATCAGGTGATAAGTCATTTATTTTATTTCTTTCAGACAGAAATTCAGTTTAATAGTTAATACTGGTTAGGCACAGGACTTTTGAGCTGTTTTAATTATTATTCCGTGGGTTTCTAGAAGGGGTGTATTAATTACATAATTTAATCAGTCACCTAAATATTATTATAAATATTATTTACAATAATAATATTTTTAAATTATATTATTAAAAAATAATTTTATAATATAATTTAAATATTTAAGTTCATTTGTTTTAATGTTACAACAAAATAGATACATGGTAGCTTTTAAAACCCAAGAACCTACTTATTTTTTTACACTATCCCAGATTTATAAAATTGAATTCTGTTTCAAAAATAAGTGTTCATTGAGGATTATAATGTTAAACATAATGCTTATTGTTCATTTGCTACTTTCACATTATTTCTTTGGGTTTAAGTTGAAACAACAGATGAGGATACTATAATCAGCACTAGGACTTTATCTTAAGGAGCTGATCGTGTAAACTTATAACAGAGAATAAAAGATTCCAAACTGCATATTTTGCAACAATTTTGTACATAATCTCAGCAAATTCACAGAAAATTTATTTGGGAAAATAAAATTAATTTGATAAAAATAAAATAATGACATGGCATTTTGCTACTATCATAATAAATGCTGTATATTTAGTGAAAATGTTTATTCAGTTCAAGTTCTGATAAAAACAATATAGACAAAGATATTTTTTAAAAGAGATATTGAATAATTTGCAATTACTTATGCAAAGAAAAAAGTATTTAAATTATTAGACAGCTAAAAACGGCTAATTTAATAGAAACATTCATTGAACACAAATTTATTATTAAATAAATTCCTTTTTAGTACCAGATTCTAAAAATTTCTTTTTCGATATAAAAGATTCTTATGTGACTATGCGACCAAGGTAATGATGATTAAAAACATAGTTCATTAGAACTGGAACTTCATACAAAAATGAAGCTTCCTATTGAAATTTTGCCTTAAATGGCAACCAAATCATAAGCACAGAAACAAAATATTGTGTTCAAACTATTACTATTCAATAACGTAATTTTTTCCTCCACAAGTATATAAACACTATTTTTTATAAAATATATATATTAATATAGAAACCACAGAATAAAATATAATCCATAGAGCTACGATCAGAATACAAATTTTTTTTCCCATTTTACTTAAATGCCATTTTAAAAGACTTTTAAATGAAAATTGGTTCTGCATTTACATTACACACAAGGGGAGGGAGATGAAATCCTTAGGCTGCTATCACACATCGGTTTGTTTCGAAAGAACAACTGTTTGGAACAATTTTTCTGCTTTGTCACAACAGCCAATCACCACAAATTGCTTTGGGGTTAACACAGGGAAAACTGGTTATCCATTACAAACTAGCTAACAGCATTCGGCGCTGATAGCTGATTCATTGAAAACGAAAAACTTGCAACTTTTTTCGAAAGGAAGGAAAAAGTTGCACGCTTTTCTTTCAATAGTAAACCAGGCAGAAAAATTGTCTGAAACAGTTGTTCGTGTGAAACAAACGCCATGTGATATGGGCCTTAAACACCAAATTCATTCAACTTCTAGAAAGAGATCACAAGCAGAAGTTCTATTCTTATGTGTCCTTAGTCACTTGGTCCCTAATCAGCTTATTTTTTTTTTAAGTAAATAAAGAAATAAGACAAAAACATGAAATAATAAGCTTTATTTATAAAGATAAATAAATAAAATTCTTCCATAAATTCTTTTTCTTAATTTATAAATCATTCTCCTTTTATCAAAACTATCATATCGAATGCATAAAGTAATACTATTTTACAAAGATTTAACATGAATATTTATAGCAAGTATAGAGGAGTAAGGGAGAGATAAGAGTATTATTATTTAAACCTGATTTAAAAAAGGCTTAGATTTATTTTTATGATAGCTAGGCAAGATTGTTACAATTATAATTTAATATAAATTTAACAAAAAATTCTTTATAATTTCAAACAAGATTTACATGCTCATTAAAATCTGTAACTAATCACTTGCTTTATAATATCGAGTCAGATTTGGGATTTCACAGAATGTGCCAAACCTAAAATAAGCAAGTGATAATAGCAGGAAAGTTTACTGGCTAAATATCATAATTCAGCAATGCATCCAATCTATGATAATGCATTTTCCTATAATTCTTCACTGTTTTAACATGTGCTGTAATAATACCTAGTTAGTTTATTTTTTGCTCTCATTTTTATACTTCATTTTAAAAATACAAATATTTGAAAAAATGTAAACTGAACCAAGTACCTTTGCTGTCAAACAAAAGGAAGAAGCTCTCTAATATCTTAAAATGATTAAAGAAATGAAACTTTTCTCATTAACTTACTTAGTCAATTTTTTCATTATCATATAATGTAATCAAATTATACAAGATTGTATGATAATGAGAATAGTAATTCTATTGATAATGGAAACACATGCAAAGCTGTCCATCATAAAATGTAATGATCAAGAAAATAATATGGCCAATTAATTACCAGGACAATGACTATGGGCTGGAAATACAAACCAAACTATAGACATGGATAAGCAAATACAATTTGAAGTAGTAAACACCCTACATTTTATATAAAATGTAAAACAATACTAATAAATTTGATATTCTTAAAAAATTGAATTTTTTCTTAAGATTTAAGATAAAAAAATTAAAGAATATGTATTATATAAATTGATCACAATTAAGTTTTCATACAACATAGTGATTCATACAAATAATATAGCAGGCTTTGTCCCAGACATGAATATTTAATATGTTACTGTGGAATAAGCATTTATCTCATTCATGTTCAGCATTATCAATCTTCAACCAAGATTACTATTTACATAACATAAATATATAATAAAAATAAATTATATTAATATTATTATTATGAAAGAAATATATAAATAATTAAACAACATTTTTAGTCACAAGGATTTATAAAACCAATTCTTAGTAAACTGAAAGTGAAATGTAGATTTTCTTTGTCATTTTCAATTTTAGTATACTATATTTTCTCATTTATTTCTTAATATTGACTATCATTTCTGTCACACAATGCATTTATTACACAGAACAAAATGGAATAAAAAATGCATATCAGTACAATAAAGCATGCAAAATATGCAAAGGTATATACAAAATAATTTCAAAAGTGGTATCAAAAACTATTAAGAATCAATAATTTTTTTTAAATTCAGTATTTTTCAATTAAAATGAAATTTAATAAATAATTTAAACTAGAGAGAGGATGGAAATACTTAAAAAAATCTGCTTATTGCATTGTCTGTCAAAATAAATGGAGATTATTTTATACAAAAATGGAAGCACCAGTCACACACTCTATCCTAACACATTTGTTCTAAGTGCATACGGACATATGGTAAAACTTTAATAATCTTTAACATAATAAATGTACAGCATAGCATCATACCAGAACACAGTAGAAATATCACACAGTTTCCACTTGTGTTTATTTCACCATGAAGGGATAAAAGTATAATGCATGTTATGATATTCAGAGGCACTCTAAACCAGTTCATGATATTGGCACGATGAGATTCTGGTATACATTCACTTTTAATGTACCCAATAGATGGGAAATATATTCCCACTGCTATCTCTAGCACAAGAAATGATGCATATGCTATCAAAACATTTGTTTCTTCAAAACTTGTAGCAATTGCACATCCACACTGAGATATGGTTGCAAGAACAACAGCAAGAAGAAGCATAGTCTGTGGTTCTGTTTTTGCATATACAGACATCTGATATATTGATGAGCCAATCATTATGCATACCATGAAGACAGAGAATACAATCCCCAAAGGTGGATGTTTTGTATCGAGTATGGGTGTCCAAAGAAATACAAATACATACATTACACTTTCAAATAATGACTGAACAATTCCTAACATAAATATTAATTTATGAGATAAAATCACCTGCAAACCCTCAAAACAAAGATTTTTCGAGCTTTTCTGTTGTTTGCCATAATTTTCACCCCAAGCATAATACATGATACCACAACTAAGAATAAAACATGGAATTGCAAGTATAAAGGGTGATACTGGTCCGAACTGCAAAGATTCCGATGTAAAATTGGCAAGAATTCCAGCTACTATAGCTAAAACACCATTCCAAAAAGTAGCTTTAGAAAAAGTAACTGAAATCCATTCCTTTGGAAAATCATAATTTTCGACATGTTCATACACATACCAAGATTCAAACACAGAAAACAACAAGGATGTAGATATGCCTCCTAGAAGCCTTCCTAAAAGTAAAATATTATAGTTTGGGAATATCTTCATAAAACAACATAATGAGTAAGTAATACAAAACATCATGCACATACGTTTGCGTCCAAAACGGTCTGCTAATACTCCAGTTCCAGTTCCAAATAAAACACTTGCCAAGAAACCTACAACATAAAGAGCAGCTATCTGAAAATTGGTAAAACCATAATGACTGTATAATTTATAGATATATGGTCCTTGCAGCCAATCACCAAAAAGGGCTAAGAAATAAACAACAAAATATTTTCGCTGGAAAATGCGAAAATGAATATTATTAGCAGATGGCAGATTGGATTTTGTAGTCTGTACCACATACTGCAGAGCAGAGCATACTCCAATAGTAATGAGCAATAGACAATATGTAAAAGCCGTATACCACATATCAGAGTCCTAAAAAGATAAAATATTATATTAATATACAATTTCATAAAATATAATAATAAATATGATAATGAAGTAAAATTCCTTTCCTTTAGTGGAAGGAAATTACTAAATGGTTGTTTCAAAAGTTAAACAAATTGAGTGACATTTTCTGAATTTAATGTCTTTTCCTTCAGAAAATTTAATAAACAGTTTTTTAATCAATACTCAAGGCTTACATTAAAACACTTTTTAGTATTAAAATAAGTTATGAGAGAAATGTAAAATTATTAACAGAGTTTAATAAATCCCATAAAGTGTACATATTATCATCCAACTAATATTTTGGTATTTTCTGACTATCTGCACTCCCACAGAAAAGTTACACATTTGTTGATGACTAATTTTTTGCTAAAATAATGTGAAAAAAAAAACAGCCATTTTGAAAATGGTTGAGCAATATTAGTTTAAGCAATTAATCAATAAAATTCAAGAAAGTAAGAAGCATCAGCAATAAAACACTTTTTTTTGAGAATTTTTTCTTTTTTGCACTGTTGTTTCTCCATGTACCCAGTATCAGTTTTCACTTAAAAAGCATCAGCAAATTGCACAAATTTGGCATGTGTATAATTTTGGCACTGCATAAACACAAAAGCAGATGTCTACAAGCATACCTGGGGAAGCCACACAAATATTTTTGGTGACATTGTGGACTGCCACACAACTCTTTTAACAACATACTGCTTTGCTTTACTTTTCCATGATTTTTTAACAAGGGTGCAGATAATGTTGACTGAATTGTTCTTTCTGATTATTGTTCTTTGAAAAACCTTTTATTAACATATGAATATATTTAATAATTAACTAAGCACTACTTTTAAAATGAACACAAGGTCGTTTTTAATATTTAAATTATTTTTGCAACAGTAATTTTAAATATTATGCTACAACTACATTATATTTTTTCCATGATATACAACTCTTATCTCTTCATTCAGAATTACCATTGTTGTTTTCTATAATACATTGATTTACTCACAGTAAAACAACATATTCTTACAATTGGGTCAAAACTTATGTACAGAAATATCAATTTCGAAACAACAGTAGAGTGTCTACATTTGCAATGAATCTGAATTACTACAGGTAGTATCTGTTTTAATGAGAAAGCAGGTTTTATTAAAAAGATAACAAGAAATAATATAGTTTGCAATAAGTAATGACAAGTTTTAGAACATAATATCTTGCTGTTTCCTCGATATTTCGTACTCATAGTTGCGGTTTCCGGAACCTATAAACTGAATTTTTATATTCCGAGAGGCAACACGGATTTCAGGAGTTGGCAGATTGCAGGTCGGCGGATTTTCAGTATTTGACTGTATTAACTTTGTGATAGTGAGTGTGGCTGTCATCTCTACATATAATAAAAGAGTCTGTCTGTGTGTCAGTGTGTGTATCTTTCATTCGCGCTGCACGTAAGCTAATAGACCCACGGCTATGAAATTTGGTACATAGGTGCATCTAGACAAGAGTCTAGACATAGGTGCACCTCGAAGCAATTTTTTCGAAATTCGAATTAGAATTTTTTTTATTTTATGTTTTGTGACGAAATCGCGTCATTTTGAGACATAATGGGCTTATAGGAAAGCGAGATTTTACTCTACACACTCCATTTTCACATCGTCATGAAACGTAGGCATTTAGCTAGTTTACGAACTTAAAATAAATTTCATGTTTCGATAAATCGATTAAATACGAATTTATTTAACAAAGGGAGCTTAACACCTTTTCAATGGGATTTTTTCTAAAAAGTTTATTTTTTTAAAATGTAAGTTTATTTTTCTTTGATTTTGGACACGTTAAACTTTCATCCTTGCGACTGCTTTTACAAAAAGAATTTTGCAAAAATGATAATATTAAAAAAAAATTTTAAATGATGCTTCCAAGTACATTTCTCACATCTTACATCTTTAAAAATGTGATTTTTGCAACAATTTTCCTGTCTTATTGTTATTGATAGATTTTTGATGAAATCACATCATTTTGAATAGTTTCATTCTTTCAGAAATATGGGTTTGGCAACAATTTTTTATCCTATTTCTTATGTCACTGTTTTTAAGAGATTGGCATATTTCATTTTTTTATATATATTTTTTATATATATAATACATTTTATTGATTTTTTTTTGATAAAGTTGTTCTGCAGAGTAAAATTCTGCACAGAATTTTATGTTTTTTGAGTTGCTTTCATGTTATTTTTTGCTTATTTCACTGTTTGTAAGCTATTGAAAAGTTTTGCATGATTTTTTTTCTTCGACGGAAAGTTGGTTAATTTTTTTATTCTTTTATGTTATTTATTGCTTATTTTACTGTTTTTAAGATACTGAAACGTTTTGAGTGATTTTCTTAGGAAACAAAGTTCTTAACCTCCTTAATACCATTCGAGTTCTTAAGATTTTGCAAAGGGGTTGGTTAATTTATTTATTGGATAATAATATTGTATTAAGGATATTGCTTATTTCATTATAATTTTGTAATAAGTATCATTTTTTTTTAGAAGTTTGTTCTGCAGAGTAAATTCTGTGCGGAATTTTTGTTTTTTGAGTTTCTTTCATGTATTTTTTTCTTATTTCACTATTTGTAGATATAAAAGTTTTGCATGTTGTTTTTTTTTTTCCTTCAACGAAAGTTGGTTAATTTTTTTTATTGGATAATTAATATTGTATATAGCTTTTCACTGTATTTTTTTCTCTTGAAAATATAAGATAAAATATCATTAATTATGCTTTGCTTTTCATATTTTTTTTTTTTTTTTTTTTTTTTTATTTTATGTTATTTATTGTTGTTTCACTGTCTTTAAATATTGAAAGTTTTAAGTGATTTTTTTAGGAAACGAAGTCTTAACCTCTTTATACATTGAGTTGTAAGATTTGCAAAGGGAAGTTGGTTAATTATTTATTAGGATTTAATTTTGTATTAAGGATATTGCTTACTTTTGTAATTTGTTATAGTAATAACTTTTTTTATGAAGTAGTTCTGCAGAGTAAATTCGAATCAGTTTTAAATTAACATTTGGTTTCCCTTCAGCCGTTTCATATACATTTAAAACCGATGAAGCTGCAGCGAGCTCTGTATGGAAACAATAGAGATACATGTGCAGGTTACGCTATGTTCCTGCTAAATAGGAAGGCGATTGAGTTTTATTGGTAGTTAGATGTTTTCCCATAGCTGTTCTGAAACGGAAAGAGCTTTCAACAAATTTGTGGTGAAATTGTTGAGGATGTTAAATTGTATTCTGCTGTTCCAAGAGCATTCATTCTGGTAATGCATTTATTTATTGTTGTTCGTATTGTAGAAGTTATGTATGCTTTTTTAGTATGATTTCGTCATTATGTTTTTTTGATGTTTGTAAGTTATTTAGTTATTTGTTGATTAATGCAAATGCTTATTGTGCGATTTGAGATGGTTTTAAAGTTGAAACAGAATGCTGTGTACATGTTTATTTGAAATTTATGTTGTGTTAATTATTTAAGCGGGTGTGCAATCATAGATCCTCATGCATAGATGTGATTTGTGATTTTTTTCCAATCTAAAACAGATCTCTGTGTACATGGATTCTTGTCAAATATTTGTGGTTAGAAACTTTACTTTTTTGCTATCTAAATTTTTTGTTTCGGATTTTTAGCTTAAATTGTGTGTTCAAAACTTGGTTTTTTGCACTGCGAAAACCAATTTTTTGGAGACATTTTAGGTTTAAAGTTCGAAATGTAGACTTCTGTAAGAATTAGAAATTTAGATAAATTAATATAAAAAATTTAGATAGTAATATGGCAACATGGAGTTTTATGCTAAAAATATTTGGCAAGAAATCTGTCGCTAAGTGAGGGGCATACATAACAGTAGTTCCAAAGTTTTTATCCAAAACATATATTTATTTTAAATTCTTTACTGAAATTCTTCTAAAAATGTGCAAGTACTTTATGTAGAGCTCCGTAATTATTAATTAACCAATCAAAATGATATGAAAATCAAGATTAATTCATTCTAAGTTTTGACTTAAATACATGTCTTCTTCTTCTGTTGCTAATTAGATGCACTGTGACTGTTTCTCTTGTTACTGCAATGATATCAAAAATATAAAGTTCTGGAACAAGAATGATTAGTGCACCAAATTAATTGTGCCCTTCCCCTAAATGTCAATGAAAATAAAAAGAAATGGCTCTACTCTGACAAGCGCCCAAAGATCACTAAATGTGGCGATATGTGTTCTGTGCTGGTTTTGGGCACCATTGCATTTTGTATGGCAATCCTTTTGACATTGAATACTCCTTTGCTGGATTGGCTTAATTGCTTGTTGGTTCATGTTGCATGTTTTTTGAAATGGCATATATTGCAATGTGAGAGACGTGGTTGCAAGAGGGTCTTGGGAGATGTGGGAGGGTCTGGAAGATGTGGTCAATTATTTTTAATGGCTGTGCACGATAGAAGTAAGGAAACGCTGATGTAGTGATTAAAGAGTGGATTGAGCCTTATACAACTATTTTTTCAGATGGCTGGAAATCTACAAGATTTAGGAAAAGAGGGTTTTGAACATTTATTTGGACCTTGTATAATTTTTGATAGTGTGTCCGGCTATTTAAAACAATATAGTGGATTACGTGGCGGCATGAATTGGTATTCGCTGTTGAAAAAAAGCATTCATTCAGGTAAGTACTTTTTATTTATCTTGTTCTATTTTGTAATGTATGTTCATTGTTTTTTTAGTATGAATTTGTCTTACTGTTGTTTTTTATTGTCTGACATTTATTTATTATTTGTTGATTAGTGCATAGTGCCTAATTGTGCAATTCGTGATGGGTTTAAAGTTGAAACGAACGCTGTGTACATGGTATTCTTTAAGTTTATTGTTGTTAGTTAATTTATTTAAACGAGGTGTCGTATTTGTAGATTCTTTCGCTGCCTGATTGTGCATCGTAGATTATTTTTTAAGTTAAAATATATCCCTCTGTACATGGATGCTTAACAAATATTTTTGGTTAGAAACTTTACGTTTTTGCTATCTAAATTTTTTGTTTCGGATTTTTAGCTTAAAATGTGTGTTTAAAACATGGTTTTTGCATGTGCGAAAACCGCGTTTTTGGAGACATTTTAGGCTTAAAGTTCCAAATGTAGACAAAAAATTTAGATAATAACATGGCACCAAAAATGTTTGGCGACTTTATGGCACATATAAGAGTAGTTCGAAAAAAATCTTTGAATCAGCACGACTGCAAATTTCTTTCATTGTGCATTTACAGCACATCATCTAGAATTTCCATATTATTACACACATAATTAATTCACAGTAAAACTGTAATGAACATTAAAAATAATTCCACAGATTAATTTGATGAAACATGATTATACTAATAATTTTTCCTTCGGTATAAACTTACAATAACAGGTAGTCTAATACTACTACACTTTAATTTGATAATGGTTTAATGTGAATCAACAATATAATGCAAATAAAAAGTAATCCCATCAATTTATCTAGATATTTATAACAGACAGATTGGTAATAATATAAAATAAAATGGTACTTTTCCGTTTTGCCGGCGCAAGCGATAAAGTCGCCAATAATGGTACAACCGATGCCAAACGGAATATTCTCGCTGGTAACCGTTTACGCCTCATTTTCAAAACAAGCCGCAGCTTTCTCTTATCAGATTGATTGTTTCTTCAATACTGGCATATAATTTTTTATCAGATAGTTTCAGTTTTATGTCTAGGCCATTTTCGGTAATTAAGTCAATTAAGACGCAATCACAGCTCTACCCGAAGCCGAAAATATAAAAGGAAAGTCAAGGTTAAATCATCAAATTCTAAGAGAATGCATTAGTGAAGTAAAGCACTGCAGTTTTACATAATTTCTGAGTAAGCTATCGTACGCATTGAAATATTGCTTGCATTTAAACTTGTTTCCAAATTAGATTTAACTGAAATTAATGTAGATAATTACTGAGAGCATTGATTTTTGTAGAGTAGTTTACGTGAGATGAGATCGTTTGGAGTCACGTGATATGAACCGGCGAATCAGGATGTTGAACATGAAAGCATGTAAATTCTTTAATTAATGTCTTTTACAAATTTATTGTCTTTATTTATTGGCTTTTTATAAAATTAAGCGATATTAAAATTTTTATGCCTTAAAAAAAAAAAAAAAAAAAAAAAAAAAAAAAAAAAAAAAAAGAATTCTTAGAACTAAATTTTTTAATATTTTTTATGTGTACGCTGTATGTTGTCGCCAATAAAGTCTGCTTGGCGAGATTTGCGCCGGCGAAACGGAAAAGTACCAATAAAATTAACCGCAAATTCAAATAAATAATTCTAGCATCATGACATTTAGAAAATACAGTTTAATAAATAATCAGAAAATACTTACATCAACGAAAAGTACACTTTGTGTCATGTTGATATTTGGAGCCATTTTCTAATATGCAGAAAAAACTGAAATATTTAAATTTTTGATTAGAATGATATCATTAGACAGCAAAACAATAAATTTGAAAATAACTTGGAGTCTTTGAAAGCAATAACTGCATACTTATTTATAGTTTAAAAGCACTAAGGATGTACATTTCAGATAATTAAAGATGTGTATTTTTAATGCTGTTAAATAAAATAAGTATCTGGCATACTTAAAACACTTACATTTTGAACACACTTAAGCCTACCTTCATTTTAATAAAATGTGAAATTTTATTAATAAACTAGCACAATCTAAGAATGCAAAATACACATTTTTACCCCCTCTGCAAGAAACTCAATTTAAATACTAGTAATATTTAGAGTAAACTAAAATACTGAATAAGAAATAGTAAGCAAATCATAAGTTACATCATCAAAATAACATTTATTTTCTGATTGAAGAGAAGTTTAAATAGAAAGTTATTGTCTCGTTTATTACTGCTAATACTTAAAGTAAAGGCTTTTCTTATTTTAAGGAGGCTAGATGATGATTTAAAAGAAAGATAAAACATTGAATCAAATATCATAGCTACATCACATTCTACATTAAAATCTATAAAATTAGGAGATTTAAAAAAATCTAATAAGCAATGTTCATGAATACTAGCATATCAGATTTATGATAGGTGAGATTCTAAAAATTTCTAGTCATATATTTATATGTGTGTGTGTAATAAAACAGAGAAAGAGATGTAGCAATGTTGATGGCATAGTATGTACACTGCTCAAAAAAAAAAAAAAAAAAAAAAAAAAAAGGGACAGTGCTATATTTCCTGTTCTACTGGGGCGATTCACGAAATTCAAATTGCTTTCTTCATGTCTCGAAAGCGCGACTTAGGATATATATATTAGATTTATATATAGCACTATTCTAACATAGGTATTTTGACACAAAATCGGACTTTTTCTGAAATAACATACCAATTTTTTTACATATTTCGATTCTACGACTCAAATTATGCCAGAATACCAAGTTTTGTAAAAATCGAACGAGTTTTTAATTTTCAAAATTTAGCTCCTCAATGTTAATTGAATTTGGCAAATATTTATTTATATCTCTTTTTTTTATTAAACTTTTTTGATTTTTTCTCTCACATTTCGAAATTTAGTTCATTCCAAATAAAATTTACCCATTTTTTGTGTTTTATTTTTTAAATTTCTATTTTTAAATAATTTTATGAATTTTTCGAAAAAAATTTTGAATTATAACCTATAAAATTTTTACCATCAATCTTAAAGTAGGTGTATTTTAAAGCATATCTGCAAAAAATTAGACTTTTTTATTCAAAATTTTCTAAGATATACACAATTTACATATTTTCGCGTTTTGAAATTTGGCATCTTTTTTTGAGCGATAATAACGCCAAATGTGGTCTATGGATTTTTGTTATACTGTATTGCCACAGCTATTTTTAACCTTAAATTTCAAGTAAAATTTTACGGAGAATAATTATATGACATTTTTTTTTCCCACAATAATGCGTAATAAATATTTATTAATACTATATGAAAAGCTATTTTTTTAATAACTTTTTTTAATATTTTTTTAATTTTCTCTCTCTTTTTTTTTTTTTTTTTTTAAATAAGAGTAAATTTTTACCTTCGGCGTTTTTTTATCGTCTGCTACTTTACTTCGTTTAAATCGAATTGTCTAAAACTGAGAATTTTCGTTTGATGTTTATTTGATTTTATGACATTAACTGCACTATTTATTTCTAAATAAACTGATGCTTTTGAAGTGGCTGAAAGAGCGGCTGGTACTATCATCCATTTTTTAAAGCACACTATATTTTATAGAAACATAAGATTTAGAATAATCATTTTTATAAAAGTCAATTATGATATAAACATACAACCCTCTAGAGACTGAATTAATGGAAGTTCAATGGTTATGTAGAAATGATCTGCAGCTACTTAATCGCTGGATAAGTCAGCAGATTCTGTGGACAAGTAAGAATAATTATATAAACGACACCCAACATTCTGGATTCAATTAACAACGAGGCTACGATGTTTATTAAATGAATTCAAGAAGTTTTAAAACATAAAAAATCAACTTATTTTTTATCCTAAAATTTATTTTTGTGAGTAGCGTATTTTCATTATTCTAATTTAAAATTCTAATAATTCTTAAAATTCTAATTTAGAATGTAATTGTCAAGAACTAATTCCTAATCATCAGCAATAATAAGTAATTATTACGGTTATTAATAAATCCTTCTTATAAAGTAATTGCAAATTTTCAAAAGACTTCTGTCTGAATGCAAATTTTTTTTTAATTTTACATTAATCAAGACTGCACATGATATTATTTATTTGCACTTCAACTCTTAACGTCAGTTCTAGTAGAATTACAAATCAATTATATTTAATTAAGGATTGGATTGGATTATTTAATTATGGCAAAGCACACGAGGGCTATCTGCCTAAAGGGAGGGATGCCTTCGTGGAGGACTTTCTAAGGGAAACTGGCTCGTATACACGTTACACATCGGGAAAACCACGAAAACACCCATGCAACCAGCCCGTTCGTGGGATTCGAACCTCGGACCGAACTACCAGTTAGATCAGCGTCTTTACCGCTCGGCCGTTTGTGGGCCTTTATGAATGGGGGCGATAACTTTATTTAAAATGATTGTCAGAAATACCAAAATTGTTTCGAAAAGTTGGGTACTTTTTAGTATACTTCAGAATGCTTAAAGAAAAAGAGAAGAAAAATTTTTTCGTAAAATTTAGTATTTGTATTTTTTTTTTTAATTTAAAACTTTTCATTTATTAATTTGATTCTCGATTTAAAATAAATATTGACTACAATATGAAAACTTTATAAACCAATGCCGGATAAAATTGTGTCAAGCAATGGGTCACAATGATAAAACTGTTTAAAGCAGTTATGCAAGTCTCCTAAGTTAAAAGTCGGTTATCTCTCTCTCTATTTATATATATCTTTTCTGACGGAACATTGAAGCGTGAAAACTGCTTACGTTTTCTCTTTTAATATAATGCAGTTTCCAACGCATCGTCTCGGGTTAAAATATTCTTCCAGAAAGGCTTCAAATAATAAATCAAATTTGGAAATGATTAATAAATATTTTAAAATCTCAGTTCGAAGAATAAATAAAATTTAAACATTATCTGAGAGACATGCAACCAAACACAAAATAAAGAAAAAATTTAAAAATTACTAAATAACTATACAAAAATAATATAAAGAAACTATTTAATAAAAATAAACACTGACCTTATTACGCAGTTCGAATAGGTAAATAAAATTTTTAAAACAGTAATTAATTTGTATGTTATTCATAAAAATCCGATTTTGTGTCAAATACCTATGTTAGAAAGTTGTATATTAATCGAATATATATCCGAAGTCGTGCTTTCGGACTTAAGAACGCAATTTAATTTTGTCACTCAGCCAGTAATCGGGAGATAGGACGGCCCTTTTTTTTTTTGATCAGTGTACATATATACACACTCAAGAGTAGGTGTCTTAAACTTTTTTCATTCGTGACTTTTTTATCACTGAGTTTTTTCAGACCCCAGAACCCATATTACAGAAGTTGTGGGTCCCCTAAGCTTGTGCAAATCAACACATGCGTGAGCGAAACTATCAGTTTTTTCACTTGACTGTAATATCCTTATTACAGTTTGGGCATTAATTTAATTTCAATTTTAAGACATAACAATATAAAATTTAAATGTAACAACAAAATGACAAGCATCACGGCAAAGCAAGAAGACGTTAATTTAAAGAATGGTCAAAACTTTTTTTTTTGTCTGATTGTCTTTCTATTTTTCATTACATGTGGTAAAATTCTGGTAATTGTAAAATTATTATAATAAGTTAAAGAAATATCAAAACTGCTAAAATTTTTGGCAACCCCCTTGGGGTTTGCAACCCACAGTTTAAGAAATCCTGCTCAAGAGGAAGAATTCTGATTGTGTAGAATGCTAAAACGTGGAATTCGTAATGATTAGCAGCCAAGTCAGATTAAATATTCCTTTTTATTTCAATTGACATTTGTGGCCACAATTCTTTTGGCACTTTTGATAAATACTAGCATTCAGCAGTTTTACATTTGGTTAGAAGTAAACTCAACTTGGCAAAATATGTCATGAAATCATGGAATATTTCATCCCATTGACTGAGATATAAGAATCGATCAACTTACCATAAAATTTATATTACATGCATAACACAGCAAAAAGAAAACTTATTGTACTTCTTAAAAATGCTTATGAAGATGACGGATCCATACCATTCCAAACTGCATTTTATAAATGCATTTTTATCGCTATGCCGATTAGATAATTTTAATACAGAAAACTAAACAAAGATGATTTTGAATGCTGCATTTTTAAAAATTCCACACACATTCCATTTAAAATGCAATGGATTGTACAACACATCAACCCTCTGGCTGATCATCTAGCGATTTCCACGGGCAACTCAAATGTAGCAAAATTTGCTCATCCCACAGGCATATGTTTTTCTTCCTGAGCGCATCCTGTTAACCCATTGAAATAAATTATATACAGTATTAGGTGTTTAGTTTACGTTTTTAGCCAACAAATATCATTAGTAGTCCACTAAATTGGGGCATTTGAAGGCACGTGGTATTAGCGCTCAAACTTCACTTTTTGCTGCTTTTTTCTTACAGAAATGGATGCTAGAAAACGTTCAGCAATTATCTAGATATTTAATAAATTATGAATTATTAATTAGATTTATTGAATCTGGTGCACAAAACTGTGAAGTTTGAATCATCATACTAAACTGCATTTTTAAGGTACTTTCCCCTCAGCGCTTCTATTTCTTAATTAAACTTTTTATATTTGCATAAGTAAATAAAATTACTATACTCAACCAATTTTTTAAAAAAAGATTTTCGTTTGTGATAACTCTAAAAATGATTTTTGGCAACTAAGTTCTATGATAAAAAGCTATAAAAAATATTTTCTGAAGATTTTCAAAATGCATTTTTCAATTCTCACATATATATATATATATATAGATTTAAAATATGAAAAAAAATATATATATGCAAATTTGGAAGCGATTTTGGTCCACAAATTGAGCAGTCAGAGGGTTAATCACTAGTTTACAGCAATTTCTGACTAAATGCATGGGTACTAAATGTATGGGTATTGTTTGTTATCAGGACCGGATTCAGAAATGTGTGAACGTGCGTATGGGCATATATAAGTATATACACACAAACACATATATTCATACTTATATATATGCATGCATACATGAACACATAAATACATACACTACTGTACCCAGTTGTGATAGCAGAACAGTACCAGGCTATGTATTCAACCATCTTTACCTAGCCCCGTTCTCCATAATTATCACCTGAAACTGCCTCAATCTATCTTGTCCCAGTACTGAAGAGATTCAAAGACACATGATACCTGCTTTAAGGCCATAAAAAAGCCCACATTTCTAGAAATTGTTAGTAATACTACTGCTTGCAATAATACAGGAGGATCATATTTTGAGCAACACATACTCAAATAAGTGGTACAACTTTTCAATTTCCTTTTGAAAATACAATATTATTATTTAATTGCCTCACTATGTAGTTCAACACATAAGACGTGTGTGTACACTACTTAAGATAAATATTTTAAATTAAAATTGCATGGAGATGCAACATCATGAGAATCTATTTAATGAAATAATGCATACTCCCAGAAAATTATACCAATAGTTACTGTTACCCCAATATACTGAAAATTTGTCACTCTAAACAACTTAGAATATTACAGATGCTTAACTGGAATTCTAAATATCAAACTCCAAATCTTTTAATGCCTAGCTCATTTTTAAAACATTACTCTGATATCCTAAGTCAAAAAGTGTAAACAATTTTAATAGCAGGACTAAATCTACTTTTTAACATAAATTTTATAACTTACGAAAACACCTACTTATTTATTATCTCTTTTTTAAACTGTGAAAAGCACTCTCAACTGACGACTTCCTTCGAAGTCGTCAGTTGTTTTACGTAATAATGTTTAATAAATATACTTCAAAAACTCGTTTAATTTTGGGGATAAGTACAGAATACTAAATAATGTTCTAAATGCAATATTTAGTTAGAAATATTTACTTATATATAATATAAAACAAATCATTTACTTGCGGAATTCGGGCAAAAACTGTACACTGAAAAAAGCGTTAAGAGAGTCACAAATACTACATTTATTAAATGACAGGACAACTAAAACCGCGCCGAAATAAATCCAGGACTGATAGAGAAACAGAACTGCAGTCATTCGAAAAGGGAAAAAATTTAACACGAATCATAAACATTAAGTTGACATTTTTATTTCCGGGAAACATGCTGCTATTAACTGAACAGACAGCAACTTGCAAAGGATGATGTGAATGGCTATTGTTACCATTAAGGTCTATTATAGTTGATCGGACAAGCGTACGAAATCAAAATAACCCGGTAAAACACGTTTGTCCGCATTAAGGTGTACTATTCTATAAACATAGACAGACAGACTATGTGGGCATGCGTTGTTTTGCACCCGCTAAGTCTTTGTACCCAAAGGGCGAAAAAATCGAGCCTTAAGTGCAAATGAAAGGCAAATAGAGGCACAATTTCATGTGAGAGTAAAAAGAAATTCCCAGCATAGGATATGAATTTTTATTTTTAAATCAAGATTAAAAAAAAATTGGCTATAGGCTGGCTCTTTTAGTTTAATGCCTAGGATTACTAATGAAAGTGTGGGGATGTTATAGAACAAATAAAACAAACAAAAGATGTTATAGTATTGCAAAAAAACAATAGGTTTTACATATTTTATTTTACTTTTAGTTCACAGGGTTATTAGACTGAAAAAAGGATTTTGCGTTGAATCACTGTAAAAGTCTGAATTACTTTTTAAATTGTTGCCACCAAATATTACCGCTCTGCATTATATTTAAAGAAATTAAATAATGGAAATTTTGCATGAATGTATGCATGTTTTTCGCATTGTGAAGAAGCAACGGTACCTAGTCCCATCAAATTCTGAATAATGAAGTTCTCCACCCGAATATGGACACTTGGAAGCCAGAATTTTGAATTTCGTATTTATTTTATAAACTATTTCCTACTTTGAAAAACTACGAAATTATTGATTAACAAACGCTATGATTTCAAAGCGAGAAATAGCAACACTGTACGGGGAAAATATTACCTCCAGCACGCGAGACTGTTTATCAGATATTCTAAAGGTTTGCTGCTTTTAAATGTTTTATTATGCATTTCAAATTTTGTAAAACTTTAACGAATTTTTTATTAATACACTCGGTGCTACTTTGGTAGACGGTTGCACGGATTTTTGGC